GAAAACCAATTTATAGCAGCCACAGACATCAATTCTTATAAAAATAACACATACCTAGAATGTTCTCAGACAAAAACATTATTTAAAATACACTATTAATTTAGACTGAAATTTAAGTTTCAGACCAAGTTTTTTAGTAAGCCCAGAATATGAACTGAACATTTTTCAGGACTCAGCCTTCGCTGGGCTCAAGCATATATTCGTGACCCTCACTCATCGACACAGGAGAAAGCTAAAGAGTCAGGAGAGCTCAGGTGACGTGTACTAACATTCACTGAAACCAAGATGGCCTGCGTTTACATAGCTTAAGCAGTCTGTTTGATGCAGGAATTTTCAGCTTTCTAGACTGAAAATACAGTAACTACTGCCCAACTCAGTTTAAGTGATCTGTCACGTTCTCATAGACATACCATTTTCATGTCCCCCTTCCAAAAAATTAAAGACAGTTACTGCGTAATTTAAGGTGTGAATAATACATGGTTTCTCAATACATAAACACTGAGTATGGGAGTTGAATTCAGCGTACCAAAATAATTTACAACGCTATATACTATAGCACTCAGTAGTAAATGTATTGTTCCTCAAATTATACCTCCATGCACATTAACCAATCGTGTATGTATCCCTTAGGCTCTCTGAAAGCATCTCGCAGCTCTTTTTTAGTTTTTCAGCCTAATGAAGATTGTGGCATTCACAAGGAGCTGGGAGAGCCACACATTCTCTCTATTGAGATAATCTTCTTAAGAGAGATTGTAAATATCTCAGTGAGGCGGTGAAACCTCAAAACAACCTATCTTCCCAGGAGCAGAAGCAGCAGCGGGTGCATAAAAAGTTGTTTTGCGGTATCTGTAACCGTCTGAAATCTCTAACTTAGAAATAAACATTTTTCAGAACACTGTGATAGAAGTACAAGAAGGCATTTTCTTGTAACCTATTCAATCTGAAAGGAGGAGTCCAGTCGGACAGCTGAAACACCAGGCATTAAGAAATCATCTATCCGCCAAATAAAATGCACATTCCAATGACCTGTTAAGTCATGAAACTGAAAACAAGATGCTACTTTTTATGTTAAATGACATAAAAATACACGTTTTAAATACATAAAACCAAAAACTTCCCCCCCACATACACATAAATGTAAACAACAGCAAAGAAAATCCTTTCACCCGTGCAACAGGTCTGAACCTACCAGTTACCTCTTTAGAATACAGCAAACCACAACTTCAAATAATTGTTTTACACTTTAGCCAGTGTTTCTCAAACTTTTAGGCACCGAGACCATTCTTCTGTCGTCACTAGCAGTGTCTCTCAAGGGAGCAGAAGAAGAGATGCTGATAGAGACCACAAACGACTGCCTTCAAGCGTCCTTGCTGTCTTCTCTAGGAGAGCAGCAGCAGGCTTTCATCAGGAAAGGGTACTGCCACTCAGAGAGCCGCTCTGCGGGTACCGGCCTCGCACTCAACTCCTGGTGACTCGCCTCCACAGTTATTACCCAATAAATACACATATTTACTGTTTTAAGTACTGACAGCTCTTACAAAGCAAAATCTGAAACTAATTAAGAAAGCAAGCAGGAAAATATCAAAAGAAAAACCCAGTTCTTTTCCACAACACTTGTAATTCTCTTACCTAGGTGTAGAGACACTGAAAAACAGCAGGCAAATTTAAATGCATATAAAGTAGTACAGCATATAATCCAGCAGCGAGAGCCTGCAGTTAACGTAACCTGCTTCAGGTACAGCCATGGGTACCACTTCCCATTAATTCTTCCTGCGTGAAAAAACACCTGCTCGGGGTTAAGGAGACCGGAGAAGCAGCAGAAGTGGAAGTAACACTTCATGACTATCGAAACCCATGCCAACAGGGAAGGAACCTGCATGACTAAGCAACGTGGTACTTCTCTGCGTGTTGAGAATGTCCATTTTGTACCCAATTTACTGGTAAGCATTTCATGTGCCATTCAACTGATTCCATTTACAATGTGCAGAAAGGGCTGTCCACAAAACTGCATCTTCTGGTTGGGCAACGTCTCATTCTTAACTGACCTGCTGGGCTAATCCATTTGTTCATGCAGACTTATGCACCGCTGCAGATGGATCATTCACCTCTTTACCAGTATACTCTCCTGGACCCTACGTGCACATGTCGCTCACATCATCTAAAAGTTTTTGATGCAGCAATCCAAAGATGAATTCTTACTTCACCAAAGCACACAACCATGCATTCTTAAAATGTGTATAACAAGACTTGATATTCCAGTTTATATACACTTCAGAAGCTACGCTTCGTGTTGTTCCCACACTTGTATCCTCACAGACATAGCGGGATTAGATAGTCCTGCTAATTGCTAGTAAAATAAACCCAGCTTTCCAACTTCTGTCTCTTTCACTAGCACATATAATGCAAAATGTAGAATCCGGAATTTAACAAGAAGGATGACAAGACCAACCGAGGGCTTTAGTTAGTGCATTTATGAACTATATTTACCACATCATCCTTTTAAAACTGATGGACTTTCTAAAACCACATCCTACCACAGTTTGGATGAAAGAACCACTACCAAGCCAGGTTAATTCCTTCACTACACAACACAGGAAAGGCTTGAGTCCTTGCTAAACCCAGAAAGATGTCACCAAACAAGGTCTCTTTCACCACAGGGCCTAGTTAAGACCTGCAAAACCACTTACCAGGGCCCTAGTTTGGTCTGTAGACCACAGCATGTGAGTCACTCCATTAAAAGCTCCAGAAGCTTTTCAATTCCACCCCTGAACATATAAAACAACAAAAACAAAATTCAAGCTGCGATTTCAATAAAAACACCTGGCAGGCACAGTCTACACTTGTCCCATGGCACAGAAGTTACGTACACGTGGAGTACGCAGGCACAGCGAGGCAACCGACAAACAGCACCGCAAGGTTTTAACTCAGTCCACAGGAAGCGCGCACCTGAAAGCAGGTGTGCTACACGCACCGGTTCCAACCGAGCGCCTAATGCTGTAACAGCAGTAAATTAGATGTCACTTAGACAATTTTTTTCCGAGCGCTGTAGAACCGAACAGTCGAACGCCTCCTCACAATCACGCCTCCACTGCAGCACCCCTGAAAGCGAAAACAAAACAAAACGCACAACGCAATTTACACCGCAATTCCAAGAACTTCCAAGTTTCAGCCGTCGCTTGAAAGCGCGAAGCGCGCTGCCGGCGGGCGCTGCACGGCAGAGCCCGGGGACCTGGGCAGCCTGGACCCCGCCGTCACGTACGCGGCC